GGCTCGCTGAAATCCAACTACTTCTTCGGCGGCGGTACTTAATGATCGGGAAATGTGGTTCCACTGCTCGCGTACGTCGGATTGTTGAAGAGTGCTCTCAGAGAGCAGGTGTGTGAGTCGAGTGGCGAATAAATTGGCCGTCTGTTGTGATTGCAGCTTTTCGACGTTAAGCTTTCCTTGCATTGTTGGGCGCACATTTTTTGCTGCACAGAGGCGGGTGCGTATCTTGGCTACAACAAGATAGTGGTCCGAGTCGATGTTTGGCCCTCGGAGTGTACGTACGTCCAAAACGCTTGAAGCATGCCTTCCGTCTATCACAACATGATCGATTTGGTTTCTCGTTTTTCGATCTGGAGACAGCCATGTAGCTTGATGGATGTTCTTATGCTGGAACCTTGTACTACATATTACCATATTTCCGGCCCCGGCGAAGTCGGACAGCCTCAGTCCGTTATCGGACGTTTCGTCGTGGAGGCTGAATTTTCCGACAGTGGCGCCAAAGATCCCTTCCTTGCCCACCTTGGCATTAAAATCGCCAAGCACGATTTTGACATCGTGTCGGGGGCAGCGCTCATATGTACGTTCCAAGCGCTCATAGAAGAGATCCTTGGACGCCTCATCCTTCTCTTCCGTCGGGGCATGGGCGCAGATGAGCGAGATGTTGAAGAATCTAGCTTTGATGCGGATTGTGGCTAGACGTTCGTCCACCGGGGTGAACGCCAGTACTCGGCGACGGAGTCTCTCTCCTACCACGAATCCAACACCGAATTTGCGCTCCTTTACGTGGCAACTGTAGTAGACGTCGCAAGGCTTCACGCTTACTTTACCTTGCCCCGTCCATCGCATTTCTTGGATGGCGGTGATGTCAGCCTTTGTCTTCCCGAGGACATCAACCAGCCGGGCAGAGACACCTTCCCCATTAAGGGTCCGGATATTCCAGGTGCATACCCTTAAATCATAGTCCTTTATACGTTTGCCGTGGTCGTCATCAGAAAAAGGGGGTCTCATCCGAGGCTGTTTGCTTCTTTTCATTGGGCGGGGTTTTAACGTGGCGGGACCCAAACCCAGCGCAAGCGAAGTTTTACGCCTTCTCACTTTAGCTCGCTCCCAAACGGGTGTTTGGTTGCTACCCAGAGGATACGTGGATATAAATATCCGGACGTTGTGAGCTGCGATTTGAACCGTACGCACAAGAATCGCTTCTGGCCACTCCCAGGTGAATGGCAGTCAAAAGTTTTCCACTTCTGCGCACGGAACCATCCTCCAGTAGTTTTGTGCTACTCTGATGTAATGCAGGGATGGAGTATATGGTCCTGCCCTAGGACATCGCAATGTTAATTGGACAATATTTTTTATATGAATTGTGGTTAATTTTGGAGTACTCTTTGGTCCTTAGGGAGTACTCTTTACACGCATGCATGGAGTAGTCGCGATTTTTGCAGGGTATTCGTGTTTTTAAGTAATTGGTTGAATAACACAAGAAATAGTGTTAGTGGATATTATTCATTGCAGCATATTCACACATATGCACTAACTATTTTACGCTCGGCACACAAAGCGAGAGCATGTACAATGACTAAGTTTTCTGTTGATATGCATTGGTGTAGTGCTCAATTCTCTCATTAAGCCATTAAACAATTTAGTTATACCGAAATGAGTAGGAGCACTAAGAAGCACCAATAGCT